CCGATGTTAGAGGTAGTTGTAAATGCAACGATCTGTAAACATGAAATAGACATTGTAAATAAATGCTCGTCTCTATTTGGAAATGATCAGTTAGCCTTCGTTGGGGAGGAGTGGGGTGGGTTTCATTGTTCAAATCACATGACTCCCTTCTACTAACAATTTGGACAAGATGAGCTCTAATATTTCAGGATTCGTAGCTAAGCCAACTAATTTTACTATTTCTCATGGTTATAATAATAAATAATAATAATGAGTTATGAATGTGTGCTACTTTTGAAAAATTGTACAAAACGTTTGCATTCCAAGAGTTGTCAATACAGACAAATGTTGTAGATCGTTTCTACTTCAAATTTGTCCGTTAGTTAATTGTTGATTTATATAACATTGCTTTGACAGTTTACTTTGGTAGCGTACTGAACAATTGTCGGGCGAACATTTTATCTTCTAAAAGCTATGACAGAAATTCAACCCCAAACTTCACTTAATGGATGACGTCATGATGACTCAACTAAACTAGTGTCTTCTTTTTGAAGCTTTGTTTGTCTCGAGCAGCAACATGCCTCATCGGCCTTTGTTTCACCACAAGTAATATTTTATAATGAAAGCACAAAAAAAACTTTATAATTTAGGACCTAGGTCACGATCTTTTAGTATTACTAAATATGTGTACCTTATATGGCAAACGGTATAGCGCCACCACACGTCGTAAATATGAGGGCGCAATTTCCCGTCGTCTCGAAAAAACCACGATATTTACAACAGAATTACAACAACAAATCTTGATGATCAAATAGAATACTAAGTCTTAAATGTCTATTTTGTACTAAATGCAACCATGGGCGGTTGGCATATTCAGTTATTTTTTATTATTTTTTTAATATTAAATATTTCATTTGCAAAATTAAAAAAAAATGTAAGCTTCTTCACTGATATCCAAGAACTACTTAACATATTTAAATGCATTTTGGTACGTAGGTAATCTAGGATACCACAATTTATCAATCAAATTTAATTCCTTTGTTGTCACATTTGTTTATCATTTCTGTTTCTGTATTATCACCTTGTTCACCCTAATAGAGATATTTTAACAAAATGGTTTCTCGTTTAATTATCCAGACTCTAATCATTACTGAATTTTATGTATCCCTAATTCTATTCCATACTGACAATACTCCCAACACATTTTAAAAATTTCAAAACCCTAATTTGTTTTTACACATATGACATAATGGTTGTCATTCCTGTCAGTTTTTATAATGATTTCTCGGATATTAATTATTCCCATGACGTTCAATTGTGCATAAAACCAACAATTCATACATACCGTATTTAATATGGTTGTGAAAAATGTTTGTTTCTTTGAAATCACAAAGTGGGGAGAGAGGGTTCAAAAACAAAACAAGTTCATCGTTTAAAATAGCCAATTAAATAAAACAAACATTTTATTTCATTATTGAATACATTTAATTATTTACTCTGGATGGACACTGTATAGCTAGACTTATTCATGTCTAGACATAACATCAAGATTACCGCACTGAGAATATATTCATTTTGAATATACTGAATTTCCTAAAAGCAATCCGTTTGGATTGACTGCAGATTAAAACAACATTGAGTGAGCGTTCTTTCTCTCGTCCATTTACTTCAAGTAAATATATTGTCGCCAGAGGGCACGATGACTTCTATATGCAATTAGTATACACATTTTTCTGTTGTTTTTTTTCAGTATAACTTCCCGGGGGCTAAGTCTTGTAACCTTGCTACACCGGGGCAGTTGTGAGTAATGTTGAAGGTGAATTTAATTAAATGTATCTTATCAATTGAGTTCGTCCCCAGTGACAAGTTATTCCGTCCTGTGTGCACAATGACGTTTTTTGAGGTGTAGATGTTTGTCACTCAAAGTACAACAAAACTTCACTTGTGTTTGACTTGAGTACAGTAACAACTATGGCAATATTGTGAATAGCATACTTTCACTTATCATTTTACTGTTTATGATGCTAGAGGGCGCGATATACTGGAATGACATATGCATGTATGTGTGAAATGTGTTGCGTTCCTCATCATCATAAAAGAAAGTTACCAGACTTGACAAAACAAAACTAACCTCATTAGCTTCCAAGAATTGTGTTTCTCATCCGTGTAAGCCAACTGGAAATTCAAATCAAATTTATGCTTGAGGTACTCTACAGAATGTACCAGATGAGTTGTCCTAGATGTCCCAGTAGATCCTAATGTCCAAAGTATTGTGTTGTTTAGATACTGAAAATTCTTGATGTAGTTTGGAGACTCACTGTTGTGTTCGACATCCTCGTAAATGGCTTTAACTCTGGTAAAAATTAACGATAGTCACATTTGTCTTGTTGCCAACGTCACGACTATATCCTTCAATTTATGGAATGTTGCACCGGATGACAAAGTCGTTTGAGTTGATCTCGTCACCACAACTGCTGTTCAGAAGAATTCCACTGTTACCTACAACGGCACACGTCTTCTGTCGTGGTATACGACGGGGATACACACCTCCCCCTCTAATTGTGAACGGGTTTCCCCTGGCATAAACAAATACTCTTGATCTGTCAATATCATGAATAAATCATATTAGTAGTACAGTATGACGTCATATTGAGAAATACGCTTACAACCGATAGCATATTATTATGCTGGCGTCAAAAACTACAATAATTTGGTCTGAACTATTTTTGAATATAAACGAATACCCTAAACACGTTTCTGCTCTGTTCCAATGTCAGAGCAATTGCTGTGGATTTGTAGTTGTGAATAACTACCACGAGTGTATTAATATTTACCTAAAGAATTCCATTAGAAATGGTTACGCCGTTATGTGTATACTAAAATGTTACCTCATCAGAGCATATTTTATACCATGACTCATTACACGGATTGAAAATACGAAGAAAACACGTACAGCTCATTTTTGCGTTATTTTAACTTACTGTGAGGTTGGAAAAAATTGCTGCAAAATCTATTGTACATTTACCATTCCGGTACAAGAACAGTTCATCATCCGATGGTACAACAAGGCGACAAAGCTTAATGGATTATACTTATTATCATAGAAAACAAATAAAATACTACCGTAGTATAATGGATAATATGTTACTAAATGTACACGAAGCTTCCACAAACAACCACCAGAACCAGGACTACTCTCATAGCATACTGCATCATTCCAGTCTCCTAAAATGTTATGTTCACTCGTAGAACAGATTAAAGAGCAACACACCCAAATATTATATTAACTGAAATAATATAGCATTTACTATTTAAAGCATTTTAATTTGAAGCACAATACAATGCGCTGGTTGGTTGTGTTCTGTAACACAACTATGTGATCAAAACTAACATGAACGAACCATTCCATTATATTCAGTTATATTATATAGTTTAAAGTACACCTGTTGAGTATTTTTTTTCTACTGAACTTCATAGAAAAAAACAATGAAAAAATGCTTACAAATACAATGCTTGAAACATTGTTCTTGTTGCTATGGTTTCTCAGTAGTGAAACTGAACAAGGCTGAATAGAAAAGTAAAATTCCATCTTAATCTGTTAAAGCTATTTGTGATATTCTATAAACTGACAAGATATTTATGTCAAATTTATTATGCTGAACTTTGACCTATGAATCCCATAAACACGCAGCTGAACTGAAATCCAAAAATGTGAACAAGTATGAATTTCGAATTTCTGGGACAGTGCAGTTTCGGTTTCACACGTTGAATTAATTTCTGGTCAAGCATATACATTATAAATGAATCTCAAGATAGACAGAGCGATTACTAGAGTTTAATAACGTTGGGTTGAAAGTTTTGTGATTATCTCCCAGATTTCAGCATGGCATTTCTGTATTGAAGTCTTTCAGAAACCTTAAAAAAATTCAGATCAGTCACGTGGTTTGGTCGCCATTTTGGATTTTAGAAAAAAGGAACTAAAAGTTTGGGCATTTGTTTCTCTAAGGTGCTTCAACCGATTAACTGGGTATTTAGCGTATAACATGTCTGGTCATATGAGAAAAATAATGTACTTTCGATCAGTCACGTGGTTTCTCCGCATCATAGATTCCATGCAAAATTGACCAACATTTAGGGCATCGTTTCTCTTGAATTCTCGAACCAATCATTTTGATATTTTGCATATAACCATTCATACAAGAAAACTACAAAAAAAAAAATCGATCAGTCACATGGTTTGGCCGGGCCGCCATTTTGTTTTATTTACAAAAATATTCAAAAGTTTGCGCATTTATTTCCTCATTGGTACCAATTAACTGCCGATTTTGTATATAATATGTCTGGTCATAGCTGCATATGAGAAAAATAATATATTTTCGATTAGTCACGTGGTTTGGCCGCCATCTTGGATTTAGGTTTTTACAAAAATATCCAAAAGTTTGCGCATTTATTTCTCATTGGTACCAATTAACTGCCAATTTTGTATATAATATGTCTGGTCATAGCTGCATATGAGAAAAATAATATATTTTCGATTAATCACGTGGTTTGGCCGCCATCTTGGATTTAGGCAAAATTTACCAAAAGTTTAAGGGGCGGCAGTCGTCGCGCCGCGTGATCGATACGAGACTCATAGCGACGTATACAACGCGTGTAAAATACATTGTAAAAAACATCTGTTTAGCTAACGTGTTTTAGATAATCTGAAATTTCGCTAATTTTAAATATATTTCCACAATGATGAATAAGACGCTGTTATTTCAAGTATTTAGTCAAATTTACCAAAATGGCATGTAGTCATTTCAACGTTTATCTCTAACCGTACACACTTGTTATCGCCATAGCTTGGGTTTCATGGGTTTGTACACATGTAAATCAATTCGCATACTTGCTAGTGTCAGCAATACGAGTCTTGTGTCTATGTAACTGTGCTCTTTCATGGCAATGTTCGGGAAAAGCAGTGTGCGAATGATTTGAAACTAAATCACCATAAAACGTAATTATGACACGAACCTTAGGGATTTAATGGGGTAAATACAAACGTACGTTTTGTTTAATCAAAATAACAAACTAGTTTCACGACTTGGTCCTTGTTTCATCATTAGTGGCATCCTAAAAACGGGAAATACACATATTTACACAGGAACACTCAAATTAAAGTTATTAATATACACTCGTTTCTTTTGTATTACAAATAAAAATCACTTAAAATAATTACTTGTGCTCTGTACACACATCAGAAGTAAGTTGTGCAGCATGCAGTTTTCCAACTTATGAAAAAGTACAAAACCATTTTGTCCTTCTTGCAATGTAGCTGATCTCTTCGGGAATGATGTGACCCAAAATCAAATGTTATGCAACGTTTTTTTTTTTGTTTTTTTTCAGACCAGCTGCGTCAATCGCCCCTTTACCACAAAGAGGGTGTTGCATCGCACAACTTTCCGTCGACCGTGTAACGCAATTTAAAAAAAAAGAAATATTGCACATGTTAAGTACCGCCTTCCATTGGCATTTTTGTGCTAGTGTCTTTTCAAATATTGTCCCCACAGATCACACATGTGAACGGGTCTGGACAGGAAACACTCTCGTAGTGCATTTCGGGAACAGCCCATAGCCAGTGCTGAGAAACACGCACTGTTACATAACAGTGTTCGGAACGAGTTGTATTCGCCCACGCACCACTATATAAACTATTAATAAAAATAAATAACATCACAGATACTGACATTCGTCAGCAAAAAATAAAACTAGAGCAGAACAAAATACTCCTGATTACAATGTTACGTAATTGGATTGCATTATGTCTATGGTGGATTCTATTTATCACCTCGAATTCGACGAGCAAGGTGAATATCCTTTGGCATAATGGTGACGCGTTTAGCGTGGATTGCACACAGATTGGTGTCTTCGAATAAACCAACCAAGTAAGCTTCAGCCGCTTCCTGCAAAGCGCCGAGAGCAGCAGACTGGTACCTGATATCTTTGCTGAATTGCAATGTGATTTCACGAACAAGGCGTTGGAATGGCATTTTTAGAAGCAGCAGCTCTGTACTCTTCTGGTAACGTCGGATGTCACGAAGAGCTACGATACCTGGTCTGTAGCGATGTGGTTTAGTCTTCACGTCACCAGACTTGTCACGGTGCGATTTTCGTCCAACCTTTGCACCTAATTTTTTCTGTAAATTCTTGCTATCCTTACGACCGGTCGATTTACGAGCAGTTTGTTTGATGCGGGCCATAACAGTATCAGACAAAAACAACCGACTCTTCAATAGCCGAGACAAGTTTAGCGTGCTTGTCACATGAAGACAGCGTTTGTATAACGCATTCGTTCTAGCGCTCTAATTGGACGATTTCAGAAAGCATGTGTTTGCATAATTATTCTGCACCAATACCATTATCTAGGATGAAGTAGGTTAATAAAGTAATAACGTAAAATTAGGAAAACGAACTAGTTAAATCAAAACACTACATGCAATCTTATTTTAGGATGAAATGTATTATGTAGAACCTAATCAAACTAAAATATACACATCAACAAAAATAAAATGAAATCAAACGATTGGAGTCTGACTATAGTTTGCTTTTCAAGGTAACCATTGGCACCACGACTCGTGAAATATGTACAGTTTAAATTACTTCATCAGATTCTGTTTACGAATGAATATCTTTTTAAAATGGACACAGTACATTGTGCACCTTGTGTGAAGAAAAAAGGGAAACTTTTAAAACATATTTTTTCATTCATGTAAATTTACCCAGGATTTTGGTAAGTGTTCCTTCAATGTTTCAAAAAATCCTTAAAACGGGGGGGGGGGGGGGAGTTGTCACCTGCGCATGCGTCAGATACCATAGCGTGTCATTGTTTACAAACAAGCGTCTACCCACGAGCCCTTTGCGTTTTTAGCGTGATTCGTTTTGGGGTACAGTCACTTCGCCCGAAA